GACGGCCTTGGCCTTGGGGTTGCTGGCAATCTCATCTTTTGATACAAGCCTAGCAACTGAAGCGAAAAGCTCGAGTGCGACCTTGAACTCAAGTTCCTTGATCTTCTCTCGGACGAGCTCTCTAATTCGAGGCCGGTGCTCAATTGTGGCAGGCGCGGCAACTTTTGGCATTGCCGGCACGGAAAACTTTTGAGAAGTGGCTGGAATAATTTCCCAAACATTGCCTACGAGCTTTGCAGTTGCAGGAGGGCGTTGAGTTGCCTCAAGCCGGGCCGGTGAAGACTTCTTCTTTTTGCCCTTGCTGCCAGATGATGATGCTGGCTTTTCCTCCTGCTCCTTGGCTGCTTTCTTTGCTTCTTCCTCGATGATCAACTTCCTATCTTGGGGTCCTAACATCTTCCACAGTTCTGAGTCGATCCCCTCCGGACGCTTTGAACCTTTGTAGTTACGTACAATCCGGTGACCATCCCAATGATGTCCATCTGGAATAATTTCACCTTTGGGGGTCAATTTGAGATCTGGAAATACGGGCGCTTCAGGTGCATCAGGCTCGACATCGCTGTCGGCTGGTAGAGGCGTACCTGGCTCGTATTCATACTCATCTTGTGGCGGATGCAAACTGGACTCAAGAGGCACAGCTTTGGGTGTCTGCGGAATGACCTGGTCCTCGAGGCGATCGGCTTTGGGTGCTTTCGAGTCAATCAGAGCTTTCAAAGGAAAGATGAAACCCTCAGATGGCAATTCCAACCTCTTTGTTCTTTGGATTGTCAGTGCACCCCAGTTGACATGATAATCTGCGGCTTCCAACTTGGCAACTAAGTATTCACCCTTCCAATCATGACCTGGTTGGATGTAATACCCAAGGAAAATCCCTTCATTTGCTGTTGGGGAGAGCTTACCTGATGTGTTATCCAACCTTTTGGGGTTATTCCAGAACAACACTTTGGCACCGAATGGAATGTGCATTGCAGGGAACTCTTCACCAAACCTGAGTTGCCATGGGGATTCACTGCCGTCAAGCTGGGGGCTTGCATTGATCGCGGTCGCGTGATGCTGCATGGCCAATGGCCACATCTTCAAAGGAAGTCCTGATTGCAACAAGTTGCTCCGGGCACCTTCCAACATCTGACGAACTTCGCGCTCAGCAAAAGACTTTGATGAATCTACATATTCAATGGAAGTTTGGTGTCTGTAACCCAAATCCTTGATGGCCCTGATCAATTCTGGGGAATTGTCAGTGTACACAACTTGAACGTCATCCTTTGATCCAATGAAGTGATTCAAACCATCAACACAGCTTTGTGAGTCCTTGGACTGGCTAGGGTAGACATACCGATATTGGGTGTGCAGATCTTTCAACACCAATGCAACTTGCTCCCCCCTGAAACCCTCTTCTACATTTTTCTTGATGATGACATGATCCCCAATGATGTGGTCACCAAACACTTCAGTTTCGATTCTCTTCTGACCACCCTTCTTTCGTGCCTGAGGTGCCATCATCCTTGCTCGTTGGCAGGTTCTGCAAAAGGGGTTCTTGGGGAAATGCGTGTACTGATGTTGGGTACTTGCAGCTTCAGCCAGCAAATCCTCAGTCTTGCGGCTTCGGATGTACTCCTGCTGAGCGTCATCCTCCACCAGCTCGTCCAATTGCTCTTCATCTTGGGCTTCGTCCCTCTTGGCTTTTGAGCTCGACCGTGAGGTCGGCATTGCAAACAACTTTTTGAGGTGCTTATCCTTTTGAAATTGATCTTTGGGATAAACCTTGCAACTGTCATCCAAGATTGGGACATGACCTTCGATCTTGAGCTGGACGACCTTGTCATCTGGACGGACTAGGATTGGTTTGCCATTGGCAGGCCATACGAAACTGCAACCCTGATCTACACATCTTGTTCCTACGGAGAGCACAGCTGGGGTATGATCAAGTACATACGGATGCACAGGATCTGGCAATGCGGACAACTTGACATCAGCAACCTCATTTGCCTCGGTCGAACCATTGGCTGTGACTAAGGAAATTGGATGCTCGGCTGCACGGCAGTTCTTGGCGCTTACATCCCTCAGCATACCCTTGGACACAAGATCGGATTCACTACCTGAGTCGACAAGCCAACTAAGGCCGGCCTTTGGCGCAGCTGTGGCAATTGACGGGAAACGACCAATGTCTCTAAGAGCTTTGGGACCGCTGATGAACCTGCACTCTTTGCATGTGATGTCACGTGTGTCCTCATTCCAACAACAAAACCCACAACTTGGTGCAACATCTGAATCATGAAGTTTCACAGTTTCTTGAAGCTGTCTTGCACGAACCTGAGCCTCATGTTGTTCAACCTTGGATGAAACTGGAACATCTTCAGCTGTCTTGTACACCTTAGTGAACTCTCTTGGACGGTGCTTGACTGGGACTTGACGACCAACTGCTTTCACCTCGATCACATGTGGGGCCTTTCGGAATCTAAGACGCTTCATGCTGACACTTGACTCATCAGAGCACGAAGTTGCCTTCGGCTGTTTTCGGACGATGCATGCAAACTTCTGGATCAGGCATGGAGCGGCTGTGGAATCCTTGCTCTTCTTCTTGGGAGCGGGTGAATTGGCCCTTTTGGTGTCTTTGGTGGCGGCAGCAGCTTTGTCATCATGCTTATAAAAACATTTGTCACCACGTCTGCACTTTCCCTGGGCATGATAGATACATGGGGTTTTGGCCATTTCTTCCTTGGACATTTTCTTCCCCTTATCATCTTTATTGCCCTTTGATGGTGAACGTGTTTTGGTTCTTCTGGGTGATTGAGTTCGAGATTTATCATCTTTGACATGCTTGAATGGACACTTCTTCCCCTTATCACAGGTACCCTTTTGGAACTTATAGCAAATCTTGTCACCTTTGCCACCTCGTTCCTGCGATCTACCACGACTTGGAGAGCCCTTTCGGCCACCGCGACCATCGCCTTTGGCAGGTGCGGCCTTTGTGTCCTTGATCCCGGCCTTGTTCTTCTCCGCGATGCGGTTCCTGTTCTCCCTCAATCGTTCACGATCGATCAAGTTCTTCATGGATTGGTGAAGAAAACTATAAGACTTTTCATGGGATTTCTCATGAGCACGGTCAAACATCTCAATGTCATATTTCAGCAACTGACTTGGTCGGATCTGCCTCAACAAGATGTCCCTTAACACAGCATCATCGGGGGTGACAGCCATGCCAGCTAGGGTAGCATCCCATTTGTTGATGAATCTTCGGAGATCCTGGACAGTATCGCCTACTTTGACAACACCCAAAAGATCTTCTACTCTGTAAAGGCTACCTGCTTCTTCTGATGTCTTGAAGTAGTCCTCAAACATGAGCAGAACATACCTTCCCCTGACCTGGATGCCTTTTCGGGATTGCTGCTCTTTGAAATTCAAGATCCTAGTTGCGAGGTCCCCTCCGGCTGAGCGTGTGAGCGCTGCTGATAACTTTGTATCCAGCGTGAGGAACTTTCCAGGATCTTGGAGTTTCTTCTCCAACTGCTCTCTGGTGCACTCTTGATCGTACACCTCATTGAGCCAGAGCCACGCCTCATCCGGGCGATCTGAACAGCTTTTCACTTCATCCCTGACATGATTCTTCCAAGTCCTATACGACTCCGGAGCGGGCATGTTGTTCAGCTTGATGAGTTCGGCCTCCTTAGTTTTTGGCTTATCCTTTTCTTCCCTTTGGGTTAAGGCTTTTACCAATTCAATAAGATCTGAAGGACCCATCACTTGCTGTTGCTTGGTTACGCTCTTGGGGGAGTCATTTGGGGGAGTTTTGATAGCTTCAGTGGGAGTGAAAAACCCTGACTGCGTTGGCAATTGGGGCTGGTCGTTGCCGACAGCCGGCTTTTGCTTGGGACTGCCACCTTTGAGCAGCTCATCCAACTTGGCCTTTGCTTCTTGTGCCAACACTGCAGGCGTTTTCAGCTCATGAATCGGCTCATCACTGCCTCTGGCGGCCTGTGCATCGGATGCTTTGGGAGTGGCAATATTGAAGTGGGGCACGCTAGTGGTAGCGGCCGGCTCGGCATTCTGGACGGATGCTTTCGGAACGGAGGCATGCTGCGCTTTGGCAACATGCTTTAACTGCTCCTGAAGGTCATCGATTTGGTCCTGAAGGCTAAGGTTCTGAGCCGCTGCCTCGTTGATCTTGTCGGCCATCTCCTTCTTGTAGTTCTCGAATTCGGTCCTCAAACTGATGAACCTGGCCTGATCAATTGCAGCCTGATCTTCATATTGCTTCTTTGTGGCAGCTATGGCATTCTTTGCATGTTCAACTGTCTGTGCATAGGAAGCTTCGAATTCACTAGTGATACGTTGCCTTTCCTCTGCAATTTTCTGATCATGCTTTGTGTTTGCCTCTGCCTTTACATCCTCTATTCTTTTGTCATGCGATGCCTGAGCCTGATTCAACCTGACCTCCATCTCATCGCCTCGTTTCCTCTCCTCGTTGACGGCACTAATGGCCTTACCTTCAACCTCCTGCAGCCTTTGCTCATACTCCTGCTCTTGCATTACGAGTCTACTTGACCATTCGTTTCGAATTGAGTCAACTACTCCATGCATTATCTGAAGGTGCCTCTGTTCAGCTTCCCTCATGACTTGCAGGGTATTCCCACTAGTGATCTGGGACAGGTTGTTTTGTATGAAGGTAAAGTACGCTACAACGGGTTGGAACATTGTCTCGTCGTCCATCGGCTCGGGGTTGCCCCCGGCCACATTCGGCACAGCGATAGCCGATGGACCTGACCCTGGAACGGCGAGAGGATGGTCAATTGGGGTCCCCATAGCAAAGTAGTGAGACTACGGCTGATAACCTGTATTTTACCAGGTCAGCCACCAATAGGTTACAATAACTAGTGGGGCAACAACAAACCGGCTGATGACCTATATGATACATGGTTTTACTGCAGGAGTTTTTACAAGTTCTATGGATTTCCGACGTCCAACAGCCCTTCTTCCCGGATCTCAGCCATTCTCCAAGCCGCATTTCTGCCACGGATATCCACTTTCTCCCGATTCCCATCGCGGTTGGCCGCCGCTCTTCGATTCCAACAAAACCTGGCAGACTCGAAACGACAAGCAACTGACGGTCATCTTGGAAAAAAAAACATCCGAAACATTACCAATTAAATTTGGGTGTTCAGAAAAGAAATGTGAATATCATATCCCAAATTCTCAGGTGAATCATATTAGTCCCAATATGTCCCAATACAAAAAGGAAACGGTGAGTTTGCGGTAGTAAATCCCATCTTTTTTGGTCAAAACCCTGGCCTCATGGGCTAGAAATTTTGAGATCCAGGGTTGCGGTCAACTCCCCATTGTCTGAAACATGTTTGCTCCAAAAATTAGCATTTTTTTTGCTTATTGAGTCAATAAATATTCACACAATTTTATAATATTATTATGTTAAACTCGTGGCTTAATTGAAACTCCAACTTGCATTAAAATTATCACAGCCTCCTGGCTATTTTTCACACTCCCCCCAACAAAAAAAAACTGAGCGCAGCGCATCAGCGTCAAATTTCAACGCGATTGGACAGGTTGGATGTTGCTTTTGTGTTGACCTATCATGATATTGGATCAATCGATGCTTCCTCTAGTGTTTTTGTTCTGCTGATCATTTTAAACATCGAATGATTTAACAGCTCAAAGCCTCTGTTCATACATAAACTGAAAGTTTTGATGCATGGTGTAGTTGCCGCTTCTTGGGTGCAAGTCAATTTTGCCTCACACATAGCTTGTCTGTCCAGGTATCCATGTGGAACTGGCAGTAAAATATTGGAACTCCCTTGATGCATCCCAGGCATGTCATGCTAAAACTTGAGACCAGACGAGGTGGAGGAATTGTCACGCTTACAGGCGGCAAATTCATTCGGCAGGCTGTGCTCTTGAAGAAGCCAAATGAGCAGTGTTCAAAACAGTGTCGTCAATTTATAATGATTGGCTAACAGGATTTCCCACAATGTATTGTGGTAATCCCCAATAATCCCCAATATATGTACTTGAATCGTATAACCCCATATAACCATCAATCAGGACAGGGGTTTTGAACACTGCTCAGATGTAGAATGAATGTAGAATGATGTAGAAAGGTGAAATTTGAAATCACATCAACATATTTCAACTACAAGTGTTGCTCCCAACGCCCAAAATACAAGGGGGGAACTCGGCAAGCACAAAGGTAACATGACACAATTCCCCCTGTAGTGGGCTATCATCTACCATCATCTACCTATAATTTCGGAACAACTCTGGTAACTAGTTCATAAAAATGGTTGCTGGTTTCAACATGTTTCAACCCATGGTAGGGTGGATAATCAACATATGAATTTGCTGCTGGGATCCGGTGGGGCCAGGCTGCAACGCGCCCAGTGGCAGGTGTCTTTTCCCATGGTGAAGCGGCTTCGTTTCGAGCCATGCTGGCTCCTGGCAGCGGGAGACCAACTGGACCGGTGGCTGGGGTCATGTTTTGAGCATTAAACCATGGGGTTTTGGAAAGTTGCCATTGTTGCCATTAAACCGATTAAACCATGCCATTTTGGTGGCAAATGATTCTGAGGCATATCCATTTCAAGCGCAACTGAGATCCCGAAACCAACAGATGTGATGAGCTAGTCAGTTACAGCTCCTTAAACATACAAGTTCTTACGGTTTAGAGTTTAAACATTTAAATATTTTCGTGGCTTTAACATTTTGTCCTTGACACTTTCTGGGGGTGCTTGACAATGCTTGACCAGTGTGATCAGGACCTCCCGGGAATTATGAAAACTCCCACACAGATGCCTAGACCATAGCCACAACATTGAAATTGTATAAATTCTTCACGCCAAAATCCGGGCCCTTTTTCTATACGATTTTGTGATTGGTAATTCAGGGTGAAGCTAGTGCCTCCACTCCAAATGTCGATGGATTCAGAGAAATAGAGTTTGAAGGCTCAAGATTGACCCACAATAAGCTTGGCAGTTTGATGAGACGTGGAGTCAAAAGTACATAAAATTGGTCAACATACATAATTTGACGAGCATACCCTCCGGCAATCAAACGTTGCAATGAACAATCCACCATCTTAAGTCGTATTTCCCATTCACACCTCCATATTATGTAAGGGATGTCCATGGAGTCCATGGATGTCCTATTGTCACGTTAGCCGCCGGGGTATCATCAACGGTGATGTGCCTCGTCGGCTTTCACCAATCGCTCACTCCCAGGCAAACTTGTCACCGTTGTCCTTTAAAGTGAAGCGTTAGAAGGAATTGAAACCGTCGGATTGCCCGTTGTCTGGGATATGTTAAGGGATAGAAGCAGAACATGATGAATCCTAAGGATTGATCCGTTAAGGAAACATGTTTGGATGATAGATTGGTCTGAGATGAACAGCTTCAATCGAAGAAAAAGGGCATAAATCATGGGCGTTGGGACTGTAGATTTTCCCTCAACTCAGTCGACCAAAAGGTGGCCACGTCTATGATAGCTGTGGGCTGTGGTTGTTCTCTCAATGAAACCCCACCTGCAATATGTACAGTATATGCTTTGCTGCATTGAAGAGCTGGGTGGAACACCTCGTCGAATCTTTTTCACACTATGCACGTAGCAACGCAATCAACAACTTGTTATTTTTGGCTATCCTTGCGGTCTCACATAAGAGCATGATTGGCTTTATTATCGATATGCCATTGGAAGTTTACCATTGATATGTATATTTTTATATGACTATATATATATATATATATATGTATATATATATATATATGAGTGGCGGACGAAATTATTTGTTCACCATAATTGCCACGAGCAAAACTGGGTGGTCCCCTATCGGTTGTGAATATGTTCGCTCTTTGAAAACATCCAGTAGCAAATGCTGCTAGTAGTACCACCAGAAGTAGCAGTAGCAGAAGGAAGAGCAGTAAGATTGCAACATTGGGTATCGGTTAGTATCGGTTGGGGTATCGGTAAGAATGGTGCATGAATTGCCGCAAACAATATGCTTGGTGCTCTCTAAGAGGAAAGCTAGCTGAGGTAAAGCTGTTTAAAGCCTTTCTTTGTAGCCGTTGCTGTAGAAATAAACACCCTATAACACCCTACTGCAGATTATTGTGGCAACTTGTTGGAATATAGGGGTATCGGTGCGGGGTCGTCCCCTATCGGTTGTGAAGGTTTCGTGAAGGCACGCAAAGTTCAAGGCAGCTCTCTACTACTTTCAATTGCCAGTAATTTTGTCGGACACGCATATATTGATATAATATATATATATAGATACATTGTATATATATATATGTATATATATATATACATATGTGTATATATACATATATGTTAAATGTGTATATTGATGCATTTATACATATATATATATTCTAATATAGATAATGCTATATATATAAAAGGATATTTATATATACACAGTGCGTATATATTATATTGGTCATATCTGGTATACCATTGAAATACCAGTGCTTCTACAGTTTATCAAACCATGTCCCTGGTTTCCCTGGCAACTGTCGTGGCATCTTTTCCCTGCAGGACAGCACATGTCATGGCAGCTTGGAGTAGATGGGTTCAGCGTAGCCTTCCGGCCTAAGCCAAGCAACAGAAGTTCCTTTATACTGGTTGGTTGATAGGGATTCCCCTAGCGGATTGTTATAATCCAAGGTATTGGTTAGTACAATCCCCGAACTAATCATCAACAGGGGTTTAGCAGCCACAGCTCCAGTCATTGTTCAGGGTCTCATTGAAATTAACTCATGCCCCTTGGTATGGAGGTTTGCACATCTTACCCCGACCATCCCTTTAAAAAGAAAATTACTTTACTTCGTGTGATCCCCACCGTGACATTTTTACATTTTCTTACTGGCAAATCTTCTGGCATTCTATCTGACATATCTTCTGGCATTCTATCTGGCAAATCTTCTGGCATTCTATCTGGCATATCTTCTGGCATTCTATCTGACATATCTTCTGGCATTCTATCTGGCATATCTTCCGGCATATATTCTGACATATCTTCTGGCATTCTATCTGGCATATCTTCTGGTATATCTTCTGGCATATCTTCTGGCATTCTATCTGGCATATCTTCTGGCATATCTTCTGGCATATTATCTGGCAAATCTTCCTGGGATTCTATCTGGCATATCTTCTGGCATATGTTCTGGCATATCTTCTGGCATATCTTCTGGCATATTATCTGGCAAATCTTCTGGGATTCTATCTGGCATATCTTGTGTCATTCTATCTGACATTTTATTTGGCATACCTTCTGGCATTCTATCTGGCATGTCTCATGGCATTTTATCTGGCATATCTTCTGGCATTCTATCTGACATTCCATCTGGCATATCTTCTGGCATTCTATCTGGCATATCTCATGAGGTCCGGCAGGGAACACTGGGCGTGGATACTCGCGGTTGAGGTCCGGCAGGGAACACTGGGCGTGGATGGTCGCGGTTGAGGTCCGGCAGGGAACACTGGGTGTGGATGGTCGTGGTTGAGGTCCGGCAGGGAACACTGGGCGTGGATGGTCGTGGTTGAGGTCCGACAGAGAACACTGTGGATCGCGGGTCGCAGTTGGACGAGGAGGACGACGAGGAGGACGACGAGGAGGACGACGAGGAGGAAGAGGAGGAGAGGAGGAGGAGGACGAGGCAGGAGTCAGGAGGAGGCAGGAGGAGGCAACTGACATAAAATCTAACAACCCTCACCTGGCAGGTGGGGAATAACAGTTCGCAATCAAGGCAATCACTTCGGAACCTTGTCGCCATGCATCGATCTGAGCCTGTGGCCTGAACTGCAAGAGGGTCACAGAGTTTTGGAATTTCTTGTGCGGCCTAACGGAAGATGCTGCCCGCGGAATGGAGCTGTTCAACACGGCGCTCAACTCCCGGCTACCATTGAAGGTCTTATTTCCCAGTCACCAATCCAACGGTTCAATTCAAAATCATGAAAAATTTTAAAGCCACCTCTGGCCACCTCTTCTTTTTCTCCCTCAAAATCCACTAATTGGTAATTTGGATCAAACTAGTGGTGAAAAATCCCTGAAAAATCTCGAATTGTTCGCGATCAACCATCAACTGGGAGCTGGGGGGAAGTTGGCTGGAAAAATTACCCACGCTTGGAGCAACCCTGCTAAGGCTGGGTCAATGTTCAATCCTTGACCCTGAAGGATTCATTTTAGTGAAACACATAGTGAAACTATGCAGACTTTCTCAGATTTCCCTAGTCAGATTTCTCAGATCTGCCCAGTTCATCCCAGTGACATCCAGCTGCCGAAAGAAATCCATCGCCAAGGGACTCCAGCAGACTCAGCACCGCACCGGGACGGCCCCAGGGGCCCGTGCGCTCTCCGATCTCGGCAGGACAATGGCAGGACTGGAAGCCCAATCGCCGTTTTGATATGGCAAGTGAAACATCTAAAATACGTGAAATTGATGTTTTACAATCCAAAGAACTGGGATTGAGTAGGTAAGTGATGATCAATGGGATTGTGGGAAAATCATCAATCACTGATTGTTCGGAGCATGTACAATCCACAAAAGTCGGACTTTAATCAACATGGTTAACCGAAATGGGATTTTAGCCCACAAAGCTGTGGACTTAACATGATTTAACAATCAAACATTGTTCTACTCATGTTTCTCAAATACGTATGGGTTTGGGGACACATGTGAGACATGATGATTGGTTGCTGGTTGGTTATGAATTGGCCGGTTCTACCGTTGCAGCATAGATGAAAAGAAATTAGTTGTTGGTCTCCGAAACAGGAGCACTTCATCATGAACAGTAGTTGTGATACCCAGTCCGGTGCGTCAAAAAAGGTGAATGTCCGTCTATACTGCGGTGGAAGATTTCAGGACCCTAAAATGGAGGTACTGTACCATATAAGGCCATATGTCGTGGGGATATTCCTTTTCATAGCCCTTACATAGGCCTTCTACATGGTAGGTACCTCCAATAGCCTGAGTTTCCAATAGCTCAGAATACCACTCATTCCCAGCAAACTTTCTAGGCGACAGCAAAACTCTCAATGGGAACTTATATGTCGACTAATAATCGGATGAATAAGGGAATACTATGATATCGGAAAAATAATGAAACAATCATGGGAATAATAATATCGGGCAAATGTGGTAAAACCAAAAATAAACGATCCCCAATATCACCAGAAATGAATGGTGTTAACCCCAAAAATAGTACGTCATGGTAGGTTTATAGTTGGGTTTACCACATTAAAAACAATGTCTTCAGCCAACTTTCCCACCTTCCACGGCCAATCTGGCAAACACATAAGAAAAATCGCTGGCTAGTCGGACATAGTCCCATCTATTGATATTTCAGTCAAGCGAAATGCAGTCCATAGCACAGGCCTCGAGGACTACACGTCAGCAGTGTTCGAGTGAACTCTCCCATTTCCGGGGAATACAA